AAGCCGTTTCCAAGGGTGTTTCAGGGAATTTTTCGGTGCATCCAATAATCCTGACAACCACAGACCAGGTGTAAACACACCAGCCCAGGACCTGCACACCCAGCATGTTTACCTCCACGACCGTCTGAGACCAGCCACCCGGACAGCTGCTGAAACAACCATTTTAATTAATCAAACAATTTCTGCACAAACTGTCAGAAATCATCTCAGAGAAACTCATCTGCATGCTTGTCGCCCTTATCGAGGGTCTCCATTTGACTCCAGTTCATCGTCGTAACCGACTTGATTGGGCAAATGCTCACATGCTGGCGTCTGGCACGTTGCAGAGGTGTTCTCTTCACGGATGAATCCCAGGTTACACTGTTCAGGGCAGATGGCAGACAGTGGGTGAGCGGTATTCTGATATTGTTGTGCAAAGTAGCCAATGGTAGATGTGGGGTTATGGTATGGGCAGGCATCTGTTATGGTAGAAGAACACAGGTGCATCTTATTGATGGTTTTTGAATGCACAGAGATACGTGATGAGATCCTGATCCCATACAGCAGCAGCCATTCAAAATGGCCCTTCCTAGGCAAACGCCAGCCGACTGGCAGCCAACTTCCCTCCAACTCCCACCGAAAATCCCCTCCAACTTCAAGCCACTGGAGTGACCCAGTCTCCAACATTTTTTTACTCTGACTTCACCCTTTCTATGAGTTACAGGGTCTGACCAGGAGATGATGCTTCTCTTTAGATCTTAATGTCCACAAATCATGACATACATAATCATACATAATATTGTAGTACAAATATTAAGGTTTAAAAAGGAATTGCAGGGGACCAGCCAAGGGCCCATTAAGGAAAGTGGGTAAATTTTGAATTGCTACCACTGTCTTTGTGCCATACATCCAAGAACCTCACCTCATGTTGCAAGGATCTGTACACAATTCTTGGAAGCTGAAAATGTCCCAGTTGTTGCATGGCCGGCATACGCCAGGCATGTCACCCATTGAGCATGTTTATGATTCTTTGGATCGGCGTATTCAACAGTGTGTACCAGTTCCTGCTAATATCCAGCAACTTCGCACAGCCATCGAAGAGGAATGGACCAACATTGATGATCAGCTCTAAACAAAGGAGATGTGTTGCTTTATGTGAAGCAAATGGTGATCAGACCAGATATTGACTGTTCAAATTCCAAGACCCCCTGGGAGGGATTATCTCTGCGTAGGAGATGTAATCACCATCTGAGATTTAGACTGATTTCTGAACAACATTTGAGGGAAAAGGTTTTATTGTCTATGTCGAAAAAGTTCCTCTCATTTTGTTGAGTGTAAAATATTCACTTTTAAACACCTAAATATTTACTATAGTTTTAAATTTTTTTTTCTATGATAAAAATTGATTTAATTTGTAATTTCGATACAAATTTTCAAATTAATGAACATGTCCATGAAACATTTTTATTTATTTTTGTGCCACTAATTTATCATTTGTTTGAAAAGTTTTAAGATAAAACCTGTTTCAAGGAAAACCTTATTAAAGATGTCTACATCATCATAAGAGGAATCTGTTTTAAATGTTGCGCTATCCATCTACTTATGTGGTAAATTGTAAAAAAAAAAAGTAATTTTATCAAGATGCCCCTCAAAAAAAAGATAAATTTCCTTCTGGAGAGGTTTAGAGTTTGAAATGGAAAATCTATATTTAGAGTATTAGAGGATGTTATTAAATTAGTCACAACATTTTGGATTTGAAAGTCACATGTTTTATACCCTGAATGTTAACTTTCCATATAACTTAGTCTATTATTTAACTGCTAAAACATTTAAAAGCAGTAAGAGTTAAAAGCTTGTAATAAAAAAGGAAAATTCATCCTCTAATTAATTTCAGCACTAAATCATTTTTAAGACCCTGAACTTGTCAGGTATTTAAATTTCAAAAACTACCAATTTGTTTAATATTAATTTCTTAATCGTCCAAAAAAGTTCAAATGGAACAGAGAGGATACATGAAGGTTCACATCTAGCACTCAGGACATATTTTCCAAAACTTTATAAGGAGGACTGTTGGTAAACGGCATATTCTCTCTTTTATGATGGTTTTTCTTTATAGTGAATCATCTGTTGTACTGAGTATTTGACATTTCCTGTTTAATTAATGCCTACGCTCATCCTGTTTTCTTTAGTGGTAGATGACCTACGGGCGGCACTCTCCAAACTGGAATGTCGAGTGGCTGTTCTTGAGAAATCTCCGGTCACTGCAGCCCCAGCTCCTGCTCCCTCCGTCCCCTACACAAACGTGAGCCAATTTTGATCGCTTTTTCCCACCAATTAGAAAATGTTATAAAGATAACTGGTTGGGATAAATTAAGCTAAGTTTTCACTCATTCTCCCAGGGCCAGCATAAGGCCAGCGCTCCAGTTAAAAAGGACGACGATGATGACGAAGATGATGACATTGACCTGTTCGGTAGTGATGAAGATGATGAAGAGGCAGAGAAACTTAAAGAGCAGAGGCTGAAGGAATATGCAGAGAAAAAGGCAAAGAAGCCTGCTGTCATCGCCAAGTCCTCAATATTGCTGGACGTTAAACCTGTGAGTTTGCATAAACTCACTTTACTCTATAAACATCTACCAACTTAATATTTTCTCTGTTTAACTTGTGCCTTGTCTCCTCCTTGTCGTAGTGGGACGATGAGACGGATATGGCTAAGCTGGAGGAGTGCGTGCGCTCGGTGCAGGCAGACGGTCTGCTATGGGGGACGTCCAAGCTGGTTCCTGTGGGATACGGCATCAAAAAGCTCCAGATCGCATGTGTGGTAGAAGACGACAAGGTGGGAACAGACCTGTTGGAGGAGGAGATCACCAAGTTCGAAGACTATGTAAGTACTTGGAGAGTATTTAGTACATGTGAGAAAAATAGTAAAAAGAACATTTCCTTTTTAGGAATGATTTTTTTTTTTGGTTAGTTCCACTTTAAAAAAACAAAACTCTATCCTCTATAGCAGCGGTCCCCAACCTTTTTTGCACCACGGACCGCTATATGTCAGACAATATTTTCGCGGACCGGGGGGGACGGGCGGGTGATTGGGGTGGGTGGACTGTTTTTTACTTGATCGTATTCAAATCACCCACACACACACACACAAAACCCCCACCCGCATGGACGGGTAAATATAATATTATTGACCCTAAACCCCAAACCCCACTGGTCCAGGAACAGTTAAATAAAGTTGATATTCAAGTCTGTCATCTATAAAGACTTCATCAGATTTATTTGCAGTGTTATATTTCAACATTTCTTTAGGTTAAGATTCAGAGTTGAAGTAGAAATCACTAATCAGAACAGTGGGATGCAGTAAACATTTTCCAAAAGTACTGGCCCTAAAAGGAAGAGGAAGCTGTGTGAGCTTTTGGATTCGACCACAATCTGCTGCTGTAAATAGATATTATTTTATGTTGGTATTTATTATGTTCCATAAAAGTTTAAAAAACACAATCCACTGGACTTGGTTTCCAAGATTTGAAGACGTTTTGCTACTTATTTAAATTTTTTGAACTGAGAAAGCTTCCTGGAGAAGTAGCGAAATGTCTTAAAATCTTGGAAATGAAGTCCAGTGGACTGTGTTTTTTAAACTTTTACGGAATGACTATGACCTGGATGACTGAGAATCTTCATCAGCATATTTATTATGTCAGTATAAAACCAGACAACAAACATTTACACAGATAAACAGTCACATATCTAATTGGCTTCAGTTTGTTCTAACTACAAATTCTGAATCACCATCGATGTCCTGATATCTCAAGGTTCTGAATCTTTGTTAAACCTGTGAAGTTGCTTAGTGAAATCAGAAACGTGTTTGTCACTGCCAGTTTTTAGACTGTAGATGTGTTAAAATATAGTAAAGATGAGTATTTAACCACAATGTTTAAACATAGAGAAGCGTTCTGTCAAAAGGTTTTTTTTTTTTTATATGAAATATTTACTTATATCTATCTCATTTATGACAGTTAAAATAGGTCAAGGGATTACACAAATGAAATGCTTTTTAAAAATATTTTTTTCTTGTCAATGGTCTGGGAGGATTTTTTTTTTCCTAAGTCATTACCTCCAAAAAAAATTTAAAAATGAACAAAATTTCTGTAAATTTGCTATAAGTTCCAGTGCAAGCTCTAACATCGGTGCATTAAGATGCAAAGTAAAATCAGGAATTATTTAGCATTTGGGGCCTAGATGATGAAAAAATCAAACTAAGACATGTAACCTGTCTACAGTTTTCGATTTTATGTTACCTTTTCGGCATGAAAGTATAAGTAAGAAAAATAAAACTTCACAATTCAACATTAAATGATCCTTAAGCTAAAAATTAGGTTTTAAGTTTGCATTTAAGTACTTAGCATTTATATCTGTATACTTTGGGTGTTTGTCAGTAGATCTAATGACCATTTCCATATCAATGAACCTGTCTCACTGACTGAAGGCCTTCATGTGGCCCGAATGTTAAAAAATTAAGAAATTCCTGCAGTTGAGTCATATAACATTTCTCCATCTTTCTTTCTTGTTTTAGGTTCAAAGTGTGGATGTAGCAGCGTTCAACAAGATCTGATTCAGTGGCGTCTCTTCATCGCTCACTTTCTCTGCTGATTGTGTCAACGGTTGAAAATAATAAAAACTCTTGCACTGAAGTTTTTGTTTTGTGTGGTTAAAGTGGTCAAATGTGAGCAGCATTCCACTGGTGTCCCTTAATGCACTATAACATTGTTGTAATAAAATCAGAATGAATTTTAGATTCCCTTAAATTGCTCCTTAATTGGTCATTTTTTTAAGCGTACCCAAATTTACCTACAGCCTGCAAAATAAAGAATAGATTATTCTGTTATTTTATTAAAATACTCAAAATATAAAAAAATGTAGCAACAAACTGTGCTCTACTTTTGAGAAAATTATATACATTATTTATGTACTGAGCTCATGTTTAGATGTGTGTCACCCCTGGTCAGTTTGGATTACAGAAGATGATGCTGGATGTCGTTCAGAGACGCATCTGCAGGGAGCAGCAGCAGTTTGATCAGCCTCCATGCCCTGCAGGAGTGAGACCTTTTTAACCCAGAAGCCCACCTAGGAAGGTCCTGAAGGTTGGAGATCTGACTGGTTTCTATGGGACATAAATTGGCTGCACACCAGACATCAGGAGGGAGAGTTGTCTTCAGCGGAATGACATGTGAAGTAGAAAACATACAGTACAGGTTTCACAAATGCATTTTAAGAAGGAGCAATGCTGACAACTGCTGGTCAGATGGGACCTGCAGTTCTTACAGATACCACATATAAAAGAAAGTTAATCCAACCTGGTGTACAATTAAACTTTCATACCTTAAAATAAACCTTAAACATAGGTAAGACGGCAGCCTTTGCACCATTTATTTAAAAATATATGTATTTTAAATAAAAAGTGATTAGCATTTGTGAATATCCTAAAAGTAGCTCTTTGGCTTTAGAATTTAGGAAAACAAAATGTGTAATTCTAGAATACCTCATGGAAAGATAGTCATTCACAAAGTAATATAGGCCTCAAGAGAGATCATTAAGTGGAAAATGTAAGAGGATTAGGGAGGACTGTTAGTGAGCTAAAGGAGCATCCTAAGGAGGGAAGATTGCATCAACAATGAGAGCCGTTTGGCTGATCCCCCACCTGAATAGGAAATAAATAAGGACGCACTTCTTTAATATTCATATTAAAATTCATACAGTTGTTAATATGGAGATTAAATACATTTTATCTCCATAGGACAGACCAGTGGGTTGAAGGCACAGCTAATAATAATAATTTTATAATAATTAATAAAAATAATTTAGTTTTGAGGATAAATAAATATCAGAGATGTTAATTAATCATCAATCAAATGTAAAAAAACAACAACATAGAAATACAGAATGGTTGCAACAGTATAACTCAGTGTAAAATACTCTCAATAGCAAACATTTTAAATAGGCAAAATGTGCAGCAAAAACAGGACAGTCATTCGTAGCCAACATAGAGGAAGATGCATCAGTGGTGATCACCTTAATGGTGATCTAAAAACTCGCTTGTGAGATTCGGTGTCCTTTCTGATTGCAGCATGTAGCTCTTCTCACTTTCAAAACAGAAAAGCGGAGAAACAGACGCCACAAAATGCACCTCAGAGTCTGCATTCTAAATGCAACATGATAGATTTCAGGATTGTTAGGATAATTATAATTGATGATCTGTGAGTTTATTAAATTTTAATATTAGCTGCCTGTTGCGTGTCAGAACGGATGTTTTCTATGGGAGAATTATCCTGCCATAATGCAAGAGAACATAATTTCAATTTGAGAAAAGAATTTCATCTTCTTGCACTCAAAACTTATAATGCTCATACTCTCTCAAATCTTTGTTTCTTCTCTCAGATTGAATGCTTCTTGCACAGATATTTTCTCCTCTCCTCCTTCTCTTCGCGCACAAACCACGCTCTGCTCGAGTCTCGGTTATGCTTGCAAACCCGTAGGCTCTGCTTGCGGATTTTTTTTGCTCTCTCTCTCAGATTGGATCGGATCGTCGCCTAGCAACCTTTCCAGCCAATAGAACGACAGCCTCAGAAAGGGTGCGCTTGTCTAACTACTGAGTGTGCCTGTGATAAACCTTACCGACAATAAATTGGCTTTTTAATTTAAAAGCTATTAAAATAAGAAGCTGAAAAACAACAATCAGGGAAATAATAAAGGGCGATTCAAGAATCACCAATGAAAAGTCACTTAATTTCTGCTGGAGGCAGAATTAGCATCTGCTCTGACTAGCAAACTTTTTTTTTTTTTTTTTCTGACGAGCAACTCTGAGGCGGGAGTTTTCTGTTCACATCACGTCATGTCTAAAAATGGATAGCTTTTAAATTATTTGTCTGAATAATTTCATATAAAGTAGAAAGAACAGAAAAAGGTAAAAAAAAAAAAAAAAAAACAAACAAACAAAAAAAACCACACAACTGATACTTGTAGTAAAAATCTATTTTGCCCCTAAAATAAACTTTTCAAACTTCCCCCACCACGTTTACATATGGAAAGCCCAATGTGACACTGCGACATGCCCCGCCCCCTAATTTACATATGGAGTGCCCAAATGTAACACTGCGACATGCCACGCCCCTAATTTACATATGGAATTGCGACACGCTATGACATCATTCAGGGGCGTGGCTTAAAGGAATTGATCATTCCAGTTCTTGCTCTGTTCAGCCTGATTATTCTGACAGCCCTGACAGGAGTTCAGACTACAGGACAGGAAAGGATTTATTTCAAAAGACAAACTGTAAGTTAACAGTTCACTTTGACCAAATCTTCAGGAAAAAGGATTTCTTCACATCATTCAAATGGCTCTGGGCAGTCAGCGTTTTAGCTCCCAGAGCAAAGACAACCAGGAATCTCAAAATTTTATAGAAATGCTTCGCACTACATTTGAGCGAAACAGGAAACAAAATAAAAGGAATCTCCAACTTGAAGTTGACAGGCTCTCTAAGGAAAAAGATTTTCTCATGGCACGGATTAGTCTTCTCCGAGCAGCATGTCAGATACTAATTCAAAATAGCCAAAAACTTAAAGATTACCAGAAGCTGAACACCAATAACCTACAAAAAATTGACAAGTTAAAAAGGGAACTCGAGCAAAAAGATGAAAAACTTCAAGATCTTACAGATAAACAGGTTGAAAATGAGAGAGTTATAGACTCGTTTATACAGGAAATTCAGGAATTAACCTACGTAGTCAATCAAAAGAATAACAAGCTTAAACACTCTGCAGATATACAGGGTAACTTTGAGAAGGTGAACACCTCAGTGCTACAAGAAATTGAGCAATTAAAGAGGAAACAGATTGAAGATGAAAATGAGAAAACCTCATTAAAACAACAAATACAGGAATTAAAGAGACAACTCGAGCAAAAAGATGAAAAACTTCAAGATCTTACAGATAAACAGGTAGACGATGAGGTGAAAACCTCATTAAAACAACAAATTCAGGAATTAAAGAGGCAACTCGAGCAAAAAGATGAAAATATTAAACAGCTTACAGATAAACAGGTTGACAATGAGGTGAAAACCTCATTAAAACAACAAATTCAGGAATTAAAGAGGCAAATGGTGCAAAAAGATGAAAATATTCAACAGCTTAGAGATAAACAGGTTGACGATGAGAAGGTGAAAACCTCATTAACACAACAAATTCAGGAATTAAAGAGGGAACAAGATAAAAAAAATAGAACAATTAAACAGCTTACATATAAACAGGTAGGTAAGAAGGTGAAAACCGTATTTTTACAACAAATTCAGGAATTAAAGAGGCAACTCGAGCAAAAAGATGAAAATATTAAACAGCTTACAGATAAACAGGTTGACAATGAGGTGAAAACCTCATTAAAACAACAAATTCAGGAATTAAAGATGCAACTCGAGCAAGAATATGAAAATATTCAACAGCTTACAGATAAACAGGTTGACATTGAGAAGGTGAAAACCTCATTAACACAACAAATTCAGGAAATAAAGAGGAAACTCGAGGAAAAAGATGAAAATATTCAACAGCTTACAGATAAACAGGTTGACGATAAGAAGGTGAAAACCTCATTAACACAACAAATACAGGAATTAAAGAGGGAACAAGATCAAAAAGATGAAAAACCTCAACAGCTTACAGATAAACAGGTAGACGATGAGGTGAAAACCTCATTAAAACAACAAATACAGGAATTAAAGAGGCAACTCGAGGAAAAAGATGAAAATATTCAACAGCTTACAGATAAACAGGTTGACGACGAGAAGGTGAAAACCTCATTAACACAACAAATTCAGGAATTAAAGAGGGAACAAGATAAAAAAAATAGAACAATTAAACAACTTACATATAAACAGGTAGGTAAGAAGGTGAAAACCGTATTTTTACAACAAATTCAGGAATTAAAGAGGCAACTCGAGCAAAAAGATGAAAATATTAAACAGCTTACAGATAAACAGGTTGACAATGAGGTGAAAACCTCATTAAAACAACAAATTCAGGAATTAAAGATGCAACTCGAGCAAGAATATGAAAATATTAAACAGCTTACAGATAAACAGGTTGACATTGAGAATGTGAAAACCTCATTAACACAACAAATTCAGGAATTAAAGAGGCAACTCGAGGAAAAAGATGAAAATATTCAACAGCTTACAGATAAACAGGTTGACGATAAGAAGGTGAAAACCTCATTAACATAACAAATACAGGAATTAAAGAGGGAACAAGATCGAAAAGATGAAAAACCTCAACAGCTTACAGATAAACAGGTAGACGATGAGGTGAAAACCTCATTAAAACAACAAATACAGGAATTAAAGAGGCAACTCGAGGAAAAAGATGAAAATATTCAACAGCTTACAGATAAACAGGTTGATGATAAGAAGGTGAAAACCTCATTAACACAACAAATACAGGAATTAAAGAGGGAACAAGATCAAAAAGATGAAAAACCTCAACAGCTTACAGATAAACAGGTAGACGATGAGGTGAAAACCTCATTAAAACAACAAATTCAGGAATTAAAGAGGCAACTCGAGGAAAAAGATGAAAATATTCAACAGCTTACAGATAAACAGGTTGACGATGAGAAGGTGAAAACCTCATTAAAACAACAAATTCAGGAATTAAAGAGGCAAATGGTGCAAAAAGATGAAAATATTAAACAGCTTAGAGATAAACAGGTTGACGATGATGGCATTCATCAGTTATGATCCCGGTTATCACGGCTGCGCAATGTGTTTGTCTGATCTGTGTTGTTGTTTGTCGACTGGCCAGTGTATATGTTTACATATACCTTTTTGAATGAATTAAGAGGGACCGGAAGGAGTAATCTAAGGGGATAAATGGATAAGTGAAAAGGATGGATACATTTTTTAACAGTGACATTTTAACGAATAAAGGTGAACTAACAGGGGTTAGCAGGGGACATATGGACTGACGGGATAAGAACTCCGGGGATGCTATAAAGACCTGCTTGGGTTGATTCAGTTATGGGGAATGGAAAACTGAAAAAGTTTGGATGTACAAGGGGCTATAGAAACCATTGGGTGTGAAAACTTATTTTGATGTCTAACGTGAGCAAATAAATCTTGGGTTTCTATAAAAGTGCACATGTAGTTTAACTAGGATCCTAAAATGAGGCTGAAAAGCACTGGTGCAAAGGTCTTAAGACCGGACTGGTGAAGAAATTATGATTTTTGTTGAAATTGGGAAAATTCCACAAAAAAAAATGTATTACTAATGGATAAAACAAACAGGCTACTCAGTGGCACAGTGGGTAGCACTGCTGCCTTGCAGCAAAAAGGTTCTGGGTTTGATTCCAGGCCCAGGGTCTTTCTGCATGGAGTTTGCATGTTCTCCCTGAGCATGTGTGGGTTCTCTCCGGGTACTCCGGGTTCCTCCCACTGTCCAAAAACATGGCTGTTAGGAAATTGGCTTCTCTAAAGTCCCCTTAGGTGTGAGTGTGTGTGTGAATGGTTGTTTGTCCTGTTTGTCTCTGTGTACTGGCGACCTGTCCAGGGTGTACCCCGCCTCTCGCTCGTAGACAGCTAGAGATAGGCACCAGCACCCCTCGCAACCCCACTTGGGATAAGCGTGTAAGAAAATGGATGGATGGATTAAACAAACTTTATGTGGCCAATGTCTGTCTGTCTGTCTGTCTGTCCTATATGAGGAATGCATGTGAGGTAGAATAGGGCTTGGGATCCGCGTTGCATTGTGGGACGTGGCGGCCCTGTTGATGGCTACGCTAACGTAAACATGGCTCTGATACAACGTTGTTGTTGAACGAAGAGACATAGATGTAGAGAGAAAAAAGATGTTAAAATCCCAAAAAGGATCTGGAATTTACCGGGACACATTAAATAGAGAAGCCAGGGACCGGTATGTTGACAAAATCAGCATTATTAAAAATTTGGATCAATATGAAGTTCCAAACAATGAGTGGAGCACCGATGAGTGAGCGCCTATACTTCAAAACAGTTCCGAAGCTACAAGTCCTTGGAGTCTCATGTGCAGTTCACAAATGGATGGGTTCAGGAGCTGCAGATCATAAAGCCAGCAAACAGTGGGAACACAGTAATCCGTACAAAGGTAAGCTGTGCTCAGACGGGCTCTGGAACCTGTTAGTTTAGTAACTGCTAACCGTTAGTGCTAACAACCACTCACGCATGTAATGTACTTTTAACTAGCTGCTATGTGTTTCAAAGGTGTAGTTAGTAACGTTAACTGCCAACCCTCCCTAAACCCTCCGGGTTTCTCATGTATTTGAGCCTTTTCCCGCTGCCGTTTTTATTATTTTCCCGTACAAGATCCCAACCTTGAAGGAAAGAAACAATGTAGGCTATACAATAAAACCGTGCATCTTTAACGTACCAGAATGAAAATGCAGGGACACACTCTCAATGACATCGGGATATTGTGGAAAGTTATGTTTGGTCGTCTTACAGCTCCAAGCTAGCTGACGACTCTTAATCTTTGACACTTGGTCTCTGTGGTTGCTCCAGGCAGGAAAGCGGTGGAAAGTTAACCCATTTTCTATGTTTTTCCCATGGCGATCATGTGTTGAGCTTTTACAGCCCACAATACAGCAACGGTTTACCATGGTTGAAATCAAGTTAAGGTGAAATTAATCAAATTAAAACACGGCTGAGAGGGAGTACAGTACGCGGTAGTCGTAGGCAGTAGTCTGTCAATACGTCATGACGCCCAAGCCCTATAGACCAACTTCAGAATGCAAATTACAGCAGACCACATGTAAACTTTTAGAATTTCTCTTCATGCTGGAAAACGTTACTAACCACCCTTTGTCAAACTGAATAATTATACCGTATTTTCACGACTATAAGGCGCACATAAACGTCTTTTTTTCCCACAAAATGTGCGGTGCGCCCTTTGGTGCGGTGCGCCCTATGTGTGTTGTAACTGCGACTTTTGAGACCACCTCATTGAGGAGAGGATGAAAGAGTGGCTGAGGGAGGTGAATGTAAGGAGACCAGGTGGTTTTTTTCCACTCATCAACATCGCTGTTAATCTGTGACTCCATGCGTGCCCATCTCACAGCTGATGAGAAAAACATGGTGAAACAAATGAATGCTGTGCTCGCTGTTATTCAACCGCTCGACATCGGTGGGAACCGGACGCAGCAGGCGCAGCAGAAGCAGCGAGTTTACATGCAAAGTCAATGGTTGACGCGCGTATAGGCGCAGCAAAAGGTCCCGCGGCGCGTTTTGAGCAGCAGGCGCAGCGCGTCGGGAGCATTCAAGCATCTGAAGCGCCGCCAACGCGCTTCTGCTGCTCGAGATGGAAAAATTGAAGTTTTGCTGCTGGACACGCCGCATCAACCAATCAGAGAAGCTGATCTGGGAGCTGACAGCGAGACAGACACATCGCTCTGATGACATATGATATTAAGGCAAATGAAAAGGGCTGGATGGATGAGGAGATAATGAAAGAGTGGCTGAGGCAGGTGTATGTGAGGAGACCAAGTGTTTTTTTCCACGCATCACCATCGCTGTCACATCAGCGGATGTGAAAAACAAGGTGAAACAAATAAACGCTGTGCTCGCCGTTATCCCGGGAGGTCTGACAAAGGAACTTCAACCGCTCGACATCGGTGTGAACTGGCCGTTCAAAGTAAGGCTGCGAGCGGCGTGGGAGCGATGGATGACAGACGGAGACCACAGTTTCACGAAAAGTGGAAGGCAGCGCCGGGCAAGTTACGCCACCGTTTGCGGATGGATTGTTGATGCTTGGACTAACGTGTCTGCTGGCTCTGTTGTTCAAGCTTTCGCAAAAGCCGGCATCATTTCAGAGGAGCCGCCCGGCACGGAAAGTGACTCTGACAGCAAAGAAGGGGAAATTGGCATGTCTGATTTAGTGCAGCTGTTTAATTCAGAAACAGAGGATCATGACTTTGATGGGTTTGATTAATACTTTGTAATAAATACTTGAATAAAGCACAATCATACTCAGTTTTGCTCCCGCTCTATTTTTCTACCTGAAAACTTAATTCAACAGCAGCCTCTGGGCCGGGTCTCCTCCTCTTCACCGCGGCGGCTGGCAGGTGTTTTTCATCTAAATAATCTAAATCTTGCACATCAGCTATATTTGCTGTGATCAGTGGGAATAAAGTAGTTTTAATATGTTTTTAAGTGAGAAAGTCCACCTGAAAAACTTAATAATTGCAGTCAGTTCATCCAGATTATCATCCTGCCTATACTATTTCTGTCGAGGCGCTCAGACCCCCACATACCAGCGGTGCGCCGACAGTAGAAATCCCTTCAACAGCAGCCTCTAGGCCGGGCAGCCTCCGGTTTCACCGCGGCGGCTGGCAGGTGTTTTTCATCTAAATAATTTAAACTGCAGGCACCAGGATACCGGCAATAAAAGCGAACATATTCCGTCGGCAGGTTTCAGGATTTTAAGTTAATTTAGGAGTGATCACAGCGCTCTGTCATCTGCGATGTGTCTGTCTCAGGGCCAGCTCCCAGGTTTGATTAATACTTTGTAATAAATACATGAATAAAGCACAATCATTCTCAGTTTTGCTCCCGCTGTATTTTTAAATACGCAGTAGAGGTATTTAAACGTAGTAGAGGACATGTACCTGTATATAAAAAACGCGCCCTATAGTCCAGTGCACCTTATGTGTGTGTTAAATACAGAAATGGCACACATAACTGGGACTGCGCCTTATGGTTGTGAAAATACGGTAAATGAAAACAGGTATAGTCTGCTAACCTTTTTCTTTACCCTTTCAACAAAATAGAAAAATACAACAAACTACAAATAAAATAACAAAGGCTTTGTCAACCACCTGGTTTATAGACAGGGACTTTCCCTCTCTGTTAAATGCTTATAGAGTTCTAGATAAAATCATTTTTAACAGTCCTGACCACAGAGGAGTCCTTTAGTATAGGGCTTAGGCGTCATGACGTAATTACTTTGTGTGGCCGCCATGTTGATGGCCTCCTTTACCGCTGCTCAGACTACTGCCTATGACTAACGCATACTGTACTCCCTCTCAGCCTTATTTTAATTCACCTTAACTTGATTTCAACCATGGTAAACTGTTGATGTATTGTGGAAAAACATAGAAAATGGGTTAACTTTCCACCGCGTTCCTGCTTGGAGGCGCAACCACGGAGACCAAGTGTCAGAGATAAAGAGTCGTCGGCTAGCTTGAATCGTGGCTGTAAGACGACCAAACATAACTTTCCACAATATCCCAATGTCAATGAGAGTGTGTTAATAATAAATAAATAATAAATAATAAAAAAGGCAGCGGGAAAAGGCTCAAATACATGAGAAACCCGGAGGGTTTAGGCAGGGTTGGCAGTTAACTTTAATAACTACACCTTTGAAACACATAGCAGCTAGTTAAAAGTACATTACATGCGTGAGGGGTTTTTAACACTAACGGTTAGCAGTTACTAAACTAACAGGTTCCAGAGCGCGTCTGGCACAGCTTACCTTTGTACGGTTTACTTAGTTCCCACTGTTTGCTGGCTTTATGATCTGCAGCTCCTGAACCCATCCATTCATGAACTGCACATGAGACTCCAAGGACTTGTAGCTTCGGAACTGTTTGGAAGTATAGGCGCTCACTCATCGGTGCTCCACTCATTGTTTGGAACTTCATATTGATCCAAATTTTTAATAATGCTGATTTTGTCAACATACCGGTCCCTGGCTTCTCTATTTAATGTGTCCCGGTAAATTCCAGATCCTTTTTTGGGATTTTAACATCTTTTTTCTCTCTACTTCTACGTCTCTTCGTTCAACAACAACGTTGTATCAGAGCTATGTTTACGTTAGTGTAGCCATCAACATGGCCGCCACGTCCCACAATGCAATGCAGATCCCAAGCCCTATTGACTTCCTTCCATAAAAAATAAATGACAGGTTTTAATCAGTGGGCCCACCAAAAAAATTAAAAATAAAACAAATGAAAGCCAGCACTATAGTCAATAACCCCCGTTGCAGGCCTGATACGGACGCCCCTCACCACTGGTCCTCAATCCACAGTGACGAATTTATGGCTCTGTTCGAAAACCTAGGCTGCATCCTCCAAGGACGCGGTCTACCTAGACTGGATCCTTCGAAGTCTGTGAAAATAAGGAGACCAGAAGTGTTCTGGCTGTGAATTCGAACAGGTCTACCCTTCAGCGGGTTTTACTGCCGTATGCTCTGTTGATTAGCAACCATGATAGTTGACACACAAAGCAGGAAAAGAATGAATACCGAAGTTTTCAAAACTGTTTGTTTATTTATTTATTTTTTATTATAAAGTGAACAAAGACTACACTCACAAGAATCCAGAGTGGAATAAATGTTCCAACCACCGGGAGCAAGAACAAATAAAATCAAATGTAATGATATAAACCTTAGTCAGTTAAATAACATGCTGCTGTCATTTTGCACATCTCTCATGTTGTTGCTATTTTCAAATATCCATTACTGTAAAAATGTCCATAGCTGCATATTAGTTATTTATTCTCCAGTTTTATATAGTTAAAACACTTTTCTTGCAATGAATCCTGGGTAAACCAAGGATACCGAGGATACATCGGACCCGTCCTTCAAATCGGGCAAAAAGAAAGACGCATTTTAAGGCCGCATAACGAGGAGTCTTGGAATCCGACCAGACCTCGGCGCCGCGCTATGACGTAATCGTCCTTCGAATCTGGCCTTCTAAGGACGCGTCCCAGGTTTTCTAACAGAGCATATATAAACTCCTGATGACCCGTCCTTTCAGATGGTCAGTTAATCTTTCGCACCTCATGTTAAACTGTAAATTGCATAAAAACCATATAATACACTACCTGGCCAAAAAAAAAGTTGCCACCTGGATTCAACTAAGCAAATAGGTTCGAGCCTCCTATTGGATAATTACTGCATGGGCGATTAGATTTCAGCTGGCAACAAGTTATTTAACCCCAACTGGTGCAATGACTTGCTTCTCATTTCCTAGAAAACTATGTCAAAAGACACATCCCGTGGTCGTGGAAAAGATGTTAGTCTGTTTGAGAAGGGTCAAATCATTGGCATGCATCAAGCAGAGAAAACATCTAAAGAGATTGCAGAAACTACTAAAATTGGGTTAAGAACTGTCCAACGCATTATTAAAAACTGGAAGGATAGTGGGGACCAATCATCTTCAAGGAAGAAATGTGGCCGAAAAAAACATCCTGAATGATCGTGATCGGCGATCCCTTAAATGTGTGGTGAGATCAAATCGAAGAAAAACAACAGTAATTCCAATCAATTCAGTTTATTTATATAGCACCAAATTCACAACACATGTCATCTCAAGGCACTTTACAGTTCAACCAGATCATACAGTCAAATTGATACAAAGTTTTCTATCTAAGGAAAACCAGTTGATTGCATTGACTCATTGACTCAAATACAATCCCTCACACTAAGCATGCTTGTAGCGACAGTGGAGAGGAAAAACTCC